TTAGGAACTAATTAAATGCTAATTTGATTTGCATACCAAAAATATTAGATGTATTAATTAAATGCTTGATAAAAATAGCAAATCATTAATTAGAGTTGACTATTCTACATATTACATTTAGTAAATAGTATAGCTTTTAATAGGCAAAATTGCGCCTAATATCACCACCTTTATCGAAATTACAAATTAATCATGACTTTTGGACTTTGGCGTACAATATCATGATCTTCAATTTTTGGTAATACGGTACATGAAATTCCTCAGCTCCCCAAAAAAAATCGACGTGGCTTAAATTTGCTACCGCAGAGGCTTAGCTGGCGGTCCACCTCGAAGCAATACGGCGTCGTTTTAATTCTTTTTTCCACGTCAGATCAAAACGACGTCGTTTCGATATCTGAGTATTTTTTTCCACCTCAGATCGAACGAGCCGTTTTGAGTGGTAAATTGCTGATTAAATCCCCAAATCAGTCGATGAACCCTTCTTCAATCTGCAGGAGAAAATTTTTGGGGCTAGGTTTTCGTCATCGGAGAAGAAGGAGTAGAAAAATGTCAACCAAATCCAGTTCATCTAGGAGTACAACATCAAAATTTACATGTATCCATGGTGAGGCCGAATTTCTAACCTCTAATACCGATCAAAATCCGGGTAGGAGGTTCTACAGGTACAAAAATTGATTGGTAAGCCTAGTTTACATGTATCCATGGTAATTGCTTTAAGCGTGTAGATTGTTTAAATTGGGAATTAGGGATTAATGTCTTATTAGGTTTATTTTTTCTGAACTTGGTAACCATGAAGTTGATTGATTATGGAATTAGGGAATTAGGGTTTAGGGTTATGGCTTATTAGGTTTTTCTGAATCTTTCTGATTTTTTCTGCATTTTTCTGCATTTTTCTGAATTAGGGAATTAGGGTTTAATGACTTCAGTAAGGTTTAATTTGAAAATAATTAATTCTGAAGATTTTAGGTTTAATTCTGAAGTTGATTGTGCAAAACGGCGTAGTTCGATCTGAGGTGGAAAAAAAATACTCAGATATCGAAACAACGTCATTTTGATCTGACGTGGAAAAAAAGAATTAACACGACGCCTATTGCTCCAAGGTGGACCGCCAGCTAAGCCTCTGCGGTGGCAAATTTAAGCCACGTCGATTATTTTTGGGGAGCTGAGGAATTTCATGTACCGTATTGCCAAAAATTGAAGATCATGATATTGTGCGCCAAAGTCCAAAAGTCGTGATTAATTTGCAATTTCGATAAAGGTGGTGATATTAGGCGCAATTTTGCCCTTTTAATATAAGTATAGATTATATTTTTTATTACAAAAACAGATCAGGTTTAGTTAATGTTGAATATGTTAAAATAGGCAAGAAATCTCATTGACTTTTTAATCCTGTAGCCGTTACAAGTTGAACGTTTTCACATTATTTTTTACATAATATAAATAATGGCACAGTTACCAATAATCTTTTTTATTCAAAACCTTAATTTGTCCACACAATTTTGAAGCCATTTTTTTATTGTTTAATTTATTTAATAATCATGCTAAAATAAAATGAGTAATTGTTCAAAAAATACAACACATTTACAACATGAAGAAAATCACAAACAATAAATAAATGTTCGGCATCTTTAATCTGTCCCTGCAAACACGATAAAAAAAAAATTGGTAATTATTATTTTAATATTTCAAAAACAAATATTTTAACCACATACAAATCATATTAGTGAACAATAATTATCAGTCAGCCATGAATTATGCACAACAAAAGTGTTTTAGGAAGATATTTAAAATATCCCTTATGTTTAGCCACAAATAAAGTCTCAATCTATATATATATATATATATATATATATAGTTATGGGCAAACTTCATTTAATTTTATTCAACTTCAATTAATAATAATATGAGGTCATTTAATAAAAATGAGTTACATTTAATAAAAATATATTCACCATTGAATAATAATATGTAACTTTCAGTTACATAATTTATTTTGACATGTCATATTTTAGATGGTCTCCATTACTGTAATGCATTTTTATGTCATGAAATACAAAATTTATTTTCATACTATATATTTTTTGGGTATTATATAAATACATATTTCACAACTAATTTAAAATGCTACAAATATCTCTATTTTCTATTGCAGTCATACAATAATAAAAAATATTATTTCGGATACTACAAAGATACATCAAATATTTTGAAAATTAAATTCCAAAGTCATGAGTCGAAGAAATTTAACGATAAGGATTTGTTGAGATGAGGATTTTGACGTTAATAAAATTACGATTGTTTTATATAAAGAAGTGTTTAATTATATTGAGATTAACTTTTTTAAATAAATTTTTTCTCATTCATTAAGTTATGATTTTTTATTTTATTCTATATTTTTAATTATTTTATCTTCTATTATATTATTTTTCGTGCAAATGCAAGTGGTAAAACTAGTTCCCAAGAAATATGCAGACTTTACAATTTTAATTGTATGCAATTAAAATCTGCAATATTGTACAACAATATAAATAAGTATTCTAATTCATTTTATTGCTACACCAAATTGAATCTCTCAAACCACATTTTCTCTATTATTCTACCAAATAATTTTCGTGCATACATTTTTCTGCCTGCTGAAATTTTTGACAAACTCACCATGCTCGATAAAATTAAAGACAAATATATTCTTTTACGTTTGGTTCGTTTTTATAAAAAATGGGATTTCGATGATCCTTCTAAAATAAAAAGTTTTGAATTTGTCTTTCATGATTTTGAGGTATACATGATTTTTCACTATGTTTTATTTTTGTTTTCTTTTTCATAGAATGGATTTAATCTAACATTCTTTTGTACATTATTTATTTGATGATAGGGTGGT